AAAAAAAAAAAAACACTCCTCTCAATCCACCTCGTACCATAAACCCTAGCTTTAACCGGCCCCCCAATTCAGAAGATCCAAAATCAAACAAGACTCAGATCTATAACTAAATCAAAAACTCACTTCAAAGGCCGAAATCGAATCGTGACTGAAATGCTATCCCCCGATCTAGAACCACAATCCATAGGCTCGCCGGCCAGCTGGTCTTCCATCGCCGGAAAACTTACCGGAGTCCGGCTTCGGGGATAATCTCCTCTATCTTGGCTCGCCGTCATGGATCTAGAGCCGTACCCTTCGCCGCCACTACCGCCATAAAACGACGCCGCCGAGGTGGAGTTCGAGCGCGGCATTAATCGGCCGTTCTTCAACGACGAGGAGGAGGAAGTTGAGGAGTAAGGGCTCGAGGGTCTCCGTTGATGAAAAGGCGAACTGCTTCTTCCTCTAGAAGATGATGCCGCCATTACTTAAACTCAAATTAAACAAAAACAAAATCTCAATCCAACCAATTCTCTCTCTTGTAGATCCAGCAAACGTGAATCGAACAATGATTTTTTGAAGAGAAACAAAAAAAAAAGGTATAAAACAAGAGAAGGTGAGGAATGTGTCAGATATCACATGGCGAAAAGCAGAAAAGCGATGAACATTGCTTGATCTTTCAACCAAGTTTTGATAACAGAAATTTTGTATCAATCAGCTTGAGAAGATTCAGTAAATGTTGAGCTCAATCGGCATATGTTCGTGGGTTTTACACACTTACGTGCGTGTCTGTGTGTGTGTGTGTGTGTGAGGGATTTGAATGAAGCAATAGCTTATTTTTCTTCTACTTTAAGACAAAGATGAGTTGCAGAGAGAGAGAGGGGTGGACTAGTGAGAAGCGAGAACGACTGAGAGCAGTTTTCGTTTATTATTATTATTATTATTATTATTATTATTATTATTATTATTATTGTTATTTTTATTATTATTATTATTATTATTATTATTATTATTTTGTTCCTTTTTTATTTTATTTTAGTTGTGCTAATTTTGAATTTAATGAGTTGGTTTTTATAATATTATTAAATAAAATAGTGGAAAAGAGAAAGCCCAGTTGGAATTTGGAATTATATTTTAAAAGGGGGGAAATGAAAAGGGAAAAATGTGATAATGCCATAGAAGAATTTGTGAATAGTCAAAATTTGGGTGCAATTGGATATTAGTATATTATATACATTATTTTAAAAAAAACTGTTTCCACAAAAAAATGAAAAAGTAAAAATTGATGCAAAAAAATTATATTATATTTGTGTGTGAATGAATATAAAATATAATTATTTAATGATATATAATAAAAAAATATTTTTCAGAGAACAGTAGATAAGAAAGTGTAAAAAAATATTATATTTGCAGAAAAATAATTAAATTTGAGACTGATAACTGTATATTAGATAAAATTGTAGTGATTAAAGTATGTATTCCATAAATAATACAAAAAAAAAAAAAGTATTTTTTTATTAAAGAGTGAATGAATGAATAAATAAATAATTAACTAGTATTTTTTATTGTAAAATGTATAGTATATGTTTTATTTTTAGTTGTGCCATTGGAATTATTGATTAAATGGTGAAATGAGATGAAAACTAATTTATTTGATGAAAAAAATATTTTATTTTTTATTTTCCTCATAGACAAAATTAGATTAATTAAAAAAAAACCTTGTCCAATGACAGAGTGTGATTACGAAATTTCTACTGTGTTTGGAAAATAAAATAAAATAAAATTGATAATAGAATTAAATAAATGTGTTGAGTAGTTGAAGGCGTTCAACTAAACAGTGGAGTTTTGTTTTTGAATTTTACTGGATAAAATAAAATGAGCGGGAATAACAGCGGCCTCAGCTGCTCCAATGTCTGATAAAAGCATACTAGTTGGTATCCCGTATATGATGTACGGGACAAAAATATTAAATGAGTTATTTTCACAGTCTTATCCGTTTAAGTCTAAAAAATAATAATGTTATTATCTATTCTCTACCTCTCTTAATCAACGTTGAGTCTAAAAAATTATTAAGTCGCCCTCTGACAAATATGCATGGAGTTATATGTTCGTGTCTCATAAGTCACAAACATTATGAATAACATTACAAATTATTCATTCAAACTTTTATTCATTGCAAATATATTAAAATAGTTTATATAATAGTCATTAAATACCACTTTATATTTATAAATAAAAAGTACATAAAATTTTTGGTGTGTTCAAATTTAAATAATTTTTATAGGCTCAATTTTAAATCATCTAGACATTTGGTCAAACGCATAAGTGTGTTCAAGTTTAAATCATTGACATTTTGGTCAGTTGAAATTTAAGTCATCTACTATGGTACTGTGATGTGTATTATATATATACAATTTTTTAACAAATAATATGTGCTTTATAAAAATAATAATAATAATTTCACAAAATTTTAAACGTAAAATTTAGTTTTTAATCACAATAGAAAAATCATGATAAGTTGTATTGAAAAAATGTTATGAGATAAAACAATTAACTAAAATAATTAAATCAAATACTTGATGGAAATAAAATACATTAATTACCTTTGACTTTTCTTACTACTAATTATAGTAAATATAACGCCTTTTTATATAAGTATAGATAATAATAAGGGTTAATTGCTAAATAAACATTAACCTTCTTGCGTTTGACACTTTTATCCCAATCTTTGGGTAATTGCAATATAATCTCGATCTCAATTTACTTATTGCAAATTTGGGTGTAGAGTGATTGATTTTAGGGATTTGTAGATCGATTTTGTGTCCAAGTCTTCTGTTGAAACGGGTTTTTATGCCATCCACGTAGCAAGTTGACAAATTCCACGCATTTAATGTATATCCACGCACAAAGTCGAAAATTCCACGTCGATGTAAGCTATTGGTGATGAGTCTCCTCCTAGATCTTGAGTGAACCGGTAAATATGAGCTCCGATCTGTTCGAACCGCCTTCAAATCGACCAGTTTTTTGAAGGTTCGACCGGTTTTAGGTTGGACTTGCAATAAGTAAATTGAGGTCGAGATTATATTGCAATTACCCAAAAATTGAGAAAATTTGTCAAACGCAAAAATGTTAAGGTTTATTTAGCAATTAACCCTAATAATAATAAAATAATAAATTGTCCGCATATAATATAATTAATTTAATTTAAGTTTTACCAGCCCAAGAAAAATAAGGTAAGCTTTGCAGCAAGTAGTCGCTTGATCGGCAAATAGCATACACGCGCTGACACGATTTGACAACATTCCATGATTCAAAAAAGGACCCATTTCACATAGTTTTTATTATTTTTATTTAAAAAATATATATATAATTTATATGTATAATTCAAAAAAATAAATAGTATATCCATGGGTCATCCATTCACTTATATTTTCCTAATGTTGCGGCATACTTCGGTGGTGGATACCTAAAATCATCGAGCAACAACTAAAATTAAATGTTGCAGTTCTTTTTATCAGATTTGATTCGAAAGAGTCAATCATAGGTCTTATGCCAAGGAAGGTCAAACGGATTATTTTTTACATTTATTCAAAAACAAGAAAGATAAATTAATTCATAAACACTCTAACTCAATTAGTTTTGATTTCAATTATCAACCAAGGATTCCACATAATGTGAAGTCGGGTTTCAATTTCGAACAAATTCCAAATATATTGATAAAAAAGCTGAGGAGTCCGGATAATCGTTCTTAATACCAAACAAATGATCATTAAGTTAGATAATCCTATTAACCTACACGTCTAGACATTTAACCTTAACAATTTTTTGTATAAATATGATAAACATAAACGACAAATCAACCAAACCAAAACAACACGTAGACAATATAATTAGAACAAATTTACTCCATACGAGCTTATATCGAATAAGTTTTTCTCTTTCAATTCTAAAAGTTGTTTAATTAAATAATTTAAATTAGAATGTGATCAATCATCCAACCTTGAGAATAATACAACTCGCTTAGAAAGAACAGTTTACAAAGAACACGATAAAAAACATAACATGAACAATCATCATATTGAAATTAACACAAAATAAAACAGAACATAAACAACCATGCCTTATAACACACGTCTGGAATATAAAAAGACATTAAAACATAATTAACTATCTTTAAAATCTTTAAAATGATTATAACTACCTAGTATATTTATGAATATTGCATGCCTAGTTATTTTTTTCATCGAACGTAAATTAAAATTCATCCAATTTAAATGACAAATAAAAAAAAAAACTATCATATATAATCTCCAAGCATGTAATCCTTGAAATTAGACTCAAAATATTCGAAAATTATATAGAGATAATATGTTTATAACCCTAAAATGTTTTGAAAGCTTTGCGGTTCGAGCGTGGCGGTAGCCATTTTTCCTTTCGGTAGCAATGTCCTATAATCATTGAGATGAGGCAGATAAATTAAAAGGAAAAAAAAAGGCAGATAAATTAATTAAATTAAGATAGAATGACAGTGATGGTAAAAGGTGAGATATAATTATGAGCTGCATATTGAAAATGTTAGAGGACAAGCTTCCCCCAACTAACATGTACCTAATTATTACAAAATAAACATAGAAATTGATGAATGTGTTGAGTAAAACAAAGTAGGAGTAACATGGATGGATAATAAGGTCCACATTTCTCTTAATTTCTTATTTCTTATTTTTTATTTTATTTTTAGGTGGCACCTCTAGGGCTGCAAACGAGTCGAGCGGCTCGCGAGCAGCTCGAGTCAAAGCTCAACTCGAGCTCGAGTTTGACCGAACTCGAGTCGAGCTCAAGCGGCTCGACCACGAACTCGAACCATATTTTGCCTTGTCTAGCGGCTCGAGATACATGTTAAATTACTAAAATACCCTTTATATATATGATAACATAGATCCTTATTGGTAATTTTACATTTCTACTTAAAATTTTCGAGCCGAACTCGAGTCGAGCTCGAGCATTTTGATTTCGAGTCGAGCTCGAGCTATTGAATTTTTTATCGAGTCGAGCTCGAGCCTAAAAAATCGAGCTCGAGCTCGAGCAGCTAAAAAAAAAGTCAATCCTGCTCCATAAGGCCAATACTCGGCTCGTTTGCAGTTGGCACGAACTAATGTGGTTGGAATTTATTATGGACATATCTTTTCATGCTGTCTAACTATAAAGCCCATTTAATTTGTGACAATTTGATTACTTGTCCGCAACCATACTTCATTGTGGTATTTTGATTACATTTTTTTTATATTATATTGAATATTGAATTTAAAGCTATGATATAAAAAAAAAATAGAAAATTCCAGCTGTGGAGGAGTATAAGCAAAGATAAAATGTGATATATATATATATATATATATATATATATGGTGGTGCTTTTTTTATCGTGTATGATACTGATTTTGTTATTATACGGTGATATTATTTACATAAATTTCAATATTGATATTTAAAAAAAAAAAATGATTAAAAATAGCACTATCATATAATTAATTTATAGTATTACACACAATTAAACGCAAATGTTTCTCATTGTTTTTACGCTAAGATTTGGTTCTCATTCGAACCACATATTATGTATATTTTTAATATATTTTATTTTAGTTTTATTTTTAATTTTGAACTGGTCCTAAAACTCCATGATTGTTGGATATGGGCCATTTTGAAAGGTATATGTGAGTTTATGAATCTTGCATATATGGCTAATCTGTTAGAGGGCATTGTATTGTGGCAGACCATTCATGAATCATGGGATTGGTAAAAAAGAAAGGACAGAAATTCGCTGGCACTTTTTCTCATAGTCATTCCACGTGGTTTTAAAAGTTTTTTATTATGTGTTTATATACTTTATAGTATGTGAAGATATGAAAATCACGAATAATTAATTTATAGTGCGTTTGATAAAATTAGATTATAACTTAGTTGATAGCTATAAATTGATTTATAGCTTATTAGTGATTTTTGAGTTTATAATTTATAGTGTATGACTTAGAGTTGAAAAAATTATTCTACATTATAAAAATACTTGGTAAAATTAGCTGAAATAAAAAATTCAGTTAAATTATTTGAAAAGTTATTCAATGAAGTTAACGAGATAAACTTGAGTTTTTGAGAAAATCTATCATACCAAACAAACTTATTTGAATACAATAAACTATAAACTAATTAAATAAATTATAAACTAATTTATACAATTACCAAACTCAGCTTTAGGCATTTTAATGCTATTTATTTACTAGTTTTATTACTAAAATTACTATCTATGTGTTTGAAATTGTTAATAAATTAAATACCAATGCGGTGGATTTATGGTGTGTTTGTATATCAAATGTCTCAATCCATACTCAATCATACTCAAAATCTAATTTATTATAACTCAACATCATAATCCTCAATATTATAAATATCATTAAATAATATCAACTCAGATTTTTACACATCACATCAACTTTAATTTGATATCCATCAAATTACATAATTTTAACTAACTATCATTTCATATTATCTATTTCATATTTTTACATTAAATCAACTTTAATTATATATTTTAAATATTACTTTAACATAAAATCAAAATTCTATTAACAACTAACTATACAACTTATTTCAAAATTAACTTCCATTAAAAAAAAATTAATTTTGAGTAGATATATATATGTATACAAACACCAAGAAATTCTATGGCACCACATGTGGCACCATATTATGGTGCCACAACATGATGTGGCACATTATGATTGGTGTCACACCTATCACACATCATGTTGTGACACCAATTATAATGTGTCACATCATGTTGTGGCACCATAATATGGTGCCACACGTGGTGCCATAGAATTTATGAACAAACACCACCATCGACCCAAAAAACATAGAACCATGACTTGACCGATTCATTTACTATTAAAAATCTAATGCGCTTTCTAATTGTAGAGCACGTTTTTATTTTAGCACAATGAAATCGCGTATTGATTGATAGCATTCACGTGGCTCTTAAAAATGGCTCTCGAATATTCATTCGTCATCTGTTTCAGGAGCTTTTTTTTTCTGAAGGACATAAATGGCGGCCTCAGTTTACAGCAGCCTGCTTATCCACCTTCCTATCTCCCAACAAAGCCATGGTAATTATTTTTCATCAGTTTACTTGCAACATTTCAGCTGATTTAACATAGAATCAATAGCCGCAGTATATTCTCATTTGTGGAAATATTTGTAAAAATTTATCCGATTTCTGATTGATATATCAATGGCCACAGTTTATGTTCCTGTGTCGAAATATTTGTAAGAATTTAGCTGATTTTTGCTTGCTATATCAAACTGTTTTGTATGAATTTGTAGTAATTGTGCTCGAATTTTTCGATGTGTATAGTAGGTAATGTTTTTGTTTCAACAAGGTTAGCTTTGAAATCTGCTATCCCAAATGCACATCAGAAATCGGAACAGAAAATCGCTTCAAGGCCGAGAGCTGTTAAAGCCAAAATGGAGGTTGAACTTGAAAGAGAAGGGCGATTTTATCTCGGTATGGATTTTGGTACATCGGGCGCACGGTATGCTTTGATCGATAGGAGTGGAGTTATACGTGCCGAGGGAAAGAGAGAGTACCCTTTGTATATGGTACAATAAATTTTATGTTAATTGGATGGGTTATTTGGCTTCGATTACCATTTTTCGTGTTTCTATTCTATTGGGTTGAATTTGTAAGAGCAACAGTTGACTATGTTTGGTAAAACTAGCTAATAAGATGATAACTAATTGTTGATAACTTATGACAAAAAAAACTAGTTTATATGAAAAAAGTGTTTGGTAAAATTAGCTGATAAGCTAGCTGAAATAAAAATTTCAATGAGCTTATTTGAAAATAAGCTTATGAGATAAGCTCGAGCTTTTTAAAAATGTTCGTCCTACCAAACCAAGCTTATAAGCTAATAAAATAAGGTATAAGCTAGCTTATATGTTTACCAAACACAACCGTTGTATAATGAATCACGAGCTTGTTTGTGTTTTCTAGAAAGAATGGAGAAAGAGTGGATTGGATAAAGTCTTGGAGAACTACACTTTTCAACCTCTTGGAAGATATCCCGGTTAGTTACCGCCCGACAATCGCCTCCATTTCCATTGATGGCACATCTGCAACGACAATTATTGTCGATAGGTTGAGCTTCCATTTATATAATCTCTTATCTGTTTTCATATGCTGTCTTCCTATCTTTATAAAAATGTCCGAGGCTCAATTTAATTACAAAAAGTGCAGTTAATGTTCCTAAATTGCAATACCACCTTGATAAAAACCTAAAAGAGGCTAGTGTACTTTTGGACAGTAACTAATATAAATATGTGTGT